ATTGTTAATAGCTTCTGATCAAAACCTTAGATTCTTCGGCAACTAAACCTTTTTCATTTCCACTTTACCTAATAGAGAAGTGCTGTCCAATCAAAATATGAGTTAAGTTACATATATGATTTTATATTTTTCAGTATCCACATTTGAAAATGTTCGAAGAAACAGCTGGGCTTAATTTTCATCATATAAAGTATTTAACCCAACATGTCAAAATATTAGCCTTCCAGGATGTAATCAATATGCTATTTATTAAAGAGATGGCTTACATTCTTTCCACCCTCCATCTTTCAAAACTTGGTATGTGAGGGGCCGAGAGATGCTTCCGCAGCTCACGCACTTGCTTTGTACATGAGACTAAAAGTTCAGTCCCTATCTTGCCGCCTGCACGGAGCTATCCCCGAGTGCAGGCAACACCACAAGCCCCTTCGGGCTGCTGCAAGCTGAGTGTGTGCTAGCCCTGCAAAATGCAGCCTCCAGCCAGTGCGTCCGTGAGCATCGCTCAGAAGAGTGAGGCTTGGTGGACAGCGCATGCAGCCAAAGTGCACGCAGTTCCGGCAGTCGCAACAAATATCAGCAGAGGGACAGGTAGGGCAAATACACCGTGAATTATTCTTAAAAGTAAATTAAAAGGATGGTGTGTATTTTCCTTTTTTTTTTTTTTTTGTTTTTGGTTTTTAGGCCACACCTGACGATGCTCAGGACTTACAGGACTTACTCCTGGCTCTGCCCTCAGGAATCACTCCTGGTGCGAGCACGAGGGACCCTCTGGGATATCAGAGACCAAACCCAGGTTGGCGAAGCAAGCGCCCTACCCCCTATACCCTGGCGTGCATTTTCTACATAGAGGACACCTTAATCCAGATGACAATTTGTTTTGGTGGGGGCCACACCCAGGTTGCTCAGGGCTTACTCCTGGTTCTGGGCTCAGGGATCACTCCAGTGCTGGGGATGAGGACCCTATGTACTGCCAGGGATAGAACTAGGGTTGGCTCTGTGCAAGGCAAAGTGCCTTAACCACTCTAATAACTCCCTGACCCCAAACAGCAAATTTTGGTCAGAAATATTTGATCTGTATTTAGATTGTAGATTATTTAAAATTTCAAAGGCATGTCGAATTTCACCCAACTTAATAAAAATGTTGCCAAGAACTGAGTCAAATGTCTTTTTTTAAGTGGTAATTATTTAAAATAAAATTAGAGAAGTCAGCTACTCATTTGCACTAGGGATTGTCAAGAGTTCAACACGCACATGTAGTTATATCCACCACTAGGACAGTGTCGTTCTAGTGAACTCTGTTCCACAGTGCTCTTGCTAGGCCATGCTCTGCTTAACATATTTCAGTGTAGATCTTTATTATTTTCTCTGTGCTTCATTTCCCCTAATGCCATTATTCCCTGAACACCTAGGCTAGAAACTTCTAAATTAAAGGTGCCACATTTGCTTAATAACTCCAGAGAAAATTATTGAAAGGCTTAAAATATTCCTTTTATAATTTCTTTGGAATCACGGGCACAAGAAGCTACAGAAAGACCCCAAAAGGATTTTTTTCTACTAAGCATTCTCCTATAAAGACTATGGCTACACAGTTTGATTCAATAATGCAACTGCCCCATGCCGCTTTTGGGGAAAGAGTTCTGGTGGGGGTGCATTTAAAACTCTTGTTCGGGGATCACACTTGGTGGTGTCGGGGATTGCTCCCAATGGTGCCTGGCAGATCACAAAGTGCCAGGCTTGACCTCTGGCCTCCCACATGCAAAGCACGTGCACCAGTAAGCTATGTATTTAGTATGCCCTGGCCCCAACAACTTCTTCTGGAAAAAAAATAGCAACTTTTTTCTATCCAATAAAAAAATGAATTATTTTATGTCAAGCCAAAAATTGTGTCTGTGAATAAGGGTTACTTGAATTCCATTTTAAGAATGAAATTAACTTTTCATAGGAGTGACTCTTAGCAGTGCTCAGGGGCAACCGGAACTGTAGCTTAGGTGGAATGGAGAGGAGACAGAACTCAGAGTCTTGAGCATTCCTGGCACATGGTCCGCCACTTGAACCACCTCTCTGCCCTCTCGAGTGCCATATTTTAGCTGCCCTTGTTTTCAGTCTATTTTGTTAGCTATAATACAAATTTGAATGACCTAACCAATAAATGAATGTAGGTCAGCTGCTAAAATATTATCTTTGGGGCTGGAGAGCTAGTACAGCAGGGGAAGTGTATGCCCTGTATGCAGCTGACTAGGGCTCAATTGCTGGCACTCCTTAGAGTCCTCTGAGCTCCGCCTGGAGCGATACCTGCAGGTCCAACAAAAAACAAATAAACATTCTTTTGAGGTTGATTTAAGAAATTAGTATCTTTCATGATCCTATGTAATCCTTAGCACTGTCCAGGATGTGAGCAAAACATGACAAATAGAGCTCAGAATTTGCCCACGGTTTGTGATATGTAATTTCGATCTCGGAAGCCTTTGTGCCTAAATCCTGGCTCTCCCTTTGGGCTCTGTCTCTGGTTTGCTGGTGGAACCTCCAAGGGATCTTCTCATCGGGGCAGGACTGAACACTACTGCACAATCCAGTGATCTTCAGTATGTGACCAACCATAGCCAATTAGCTTCTGAAACGTGACTGTGATCTTGAATAAGCCAACTGAGCTAGGAGGACTGTTGTAAGACTGAGATAACCTGTCTGGGTTGACATAAGAAAACCCACCTGGGGTAATTGGTGAGTAGGAATTGAAAAAGCCAAACCCAAACTACCAGTTGAAGGAACAGTTGAAGGCACGACGCCTTTCACAACAGGGCAGAAGCCCTTTCATGGAGAGCTGCTCACTTCCATGCAAACCTCAGGTTCTAAGGCTGGCGGGGGAGCTGGATGGGCTGAGCAAATCTTTGCATGCAGGAGACCCAGATTTGATCCCTGGTGTCTCAAGACCCCCAGAGTAATTCCAGGAGCGAATCTCAAGCATACCCCCTAGAAAGAAAGAAAGAAAGACAGAAAGAAAGAAGGAAGGAAGGAAGGAAAGAAAGAAAGAAAGAAAGAAAGAAAGAAAGAAAGAAAGAAAGAAAGAAGCGAGGGAAGGCAGGAGGGGGGATGGAGGAAGAAAGGAAGGAGGGAGGGAGGTAAGGAGGAAAAGGAAAGAAAGAAAGAAAGAAAGAAAGAAAGAAAGAAAGAAAGAAAGAAAGAAAGGGGAAATTGCACCCCAGGTTCTAGAGTAACATTGTTAGGTGAGCCTAAATTGCAGTCAGGTAGCAGCTCCTATGGGCAGCTGTGGCCCAAACTTCTCCTCTAGCAACTTATATTCATCTCGGTGATCCAGAATCCTATGAGAGCTTGGTTTTCCCACTCACACACGCCCCACAGTTCAGAAAACAGCCTTGCAGCTCCAGAGGCTGAATTCTGGAGGTTGAGTGATGAACCCCAAAGGGATGTTGTGATTTACAGTTGCCTTGTCAAAGTGGGACGTGTTTACAAGACAAAATGCTAAGGAAACAAACATCGCTGGTATTCTAGAAGAGAATGTATACATGTATACTGGGAGAGGGCTCCCTCCCCACCCAAGGAGCGCCGGGTTTGCTATTTTTAGGGCTTTGGAGCATGTTTTAAGGGTCAAGTGTTAACTTCAGAGAAACAACCTTTAATGAGTCAGGACAGAAACCATCTGGTGCATTCCTCCTCAGGAAGGGCTGACTCCAGGAGGAATCTCCCAACCTCGTAGGATTCCCACTGGAGGCTCCTGGCAGTAGCTCGGGAACCGAATCTAACCCTTCCCACTCCTTGCTCTATCTTCCTGTCCACCCACGAAGAGGAAATCTTGGGAAAGGGGGAGGCTTTCCCCCCCTTTTGTCCTTGACTGTCCAAAGATGTCAGCAGTCCTAAAAGCTCCGAAGCAGCAGCCTCCCTCTCTCGGGGACACCTGGGCCGACCCCGCATTGCACAGGCGCGCGGCAGGTGCGGGAAGGCGCCGCGCGACCGCGCCGGGATGGGGTAACTCGGGGCCCAAACCAAAGCGCAGCTCCCCATCCTCCCTCGACAAGCTCGCCTCGGTGACACTTCCTCGTGCCCCAGGAAGTGACGATCAGCCAGCGGGGCCCGCTGTAACTCCGGGGTCCCCTCCACGCCCAGGGGTGCCACCTCCACGGCCCGGGATGCCCGGTGACCGCGCCGTTTGCGCCACCCGGACAGCCTCAGGGGTGCTCGGGTCACCCTGGCAAGCTTGCAGGCTCCTCTCGGGCGGACGGCGCCCTGTGCCCCGCAATGGGGGTGACCCTGCACCCACCCGGGACAAAGGGACAGGAGAGGGGTCGCGGGGAGGGCGGCACCCCGGGGAGCTGGGGACAGGGGGCGGCGGCGGATTTCCCCGAAGCAGAGTCCCGAGGCCGCCGCGGGGCAGTGCGGGTGCAGACCCCGAGGGATCCAGGGTCGTTCCCGGGAAAAGGGCAAACGTCGGGGTTAAAATGAAAAAAGGCGACGCGCACCGCAGGGCCTCGGCAGGCATGAAGTCGCGGGGCCCGGGGCTCGGGAGCCGGGCGCCGGCGGGGCGGCCCGCACCCCCGCGCGGGAATGAATGGGGCGGTGGGCGCCGCGGCTCCGGGCCCCGCGGCGGCCGGGCGGGGCGGGCGGGCGGCGCGGTCGGGGCGCGCGGGCCGCGCCGAGCCCGGCCGTGATTGGCGGCGCCGCGAGCCCCCGGCCGCCCGGCCCGCAGCGCCCCGCGGGGCCCCGGACGCCGCCCCCCGCGCCCCCATCCCCGCCCCTCGGCCCGCGCCGGGCCGCCGCCCTCGCCCGGAGCCCGCCCTCGCCGCGGCCCGCGTCCCCGGCGGCGCCGCCGCGGCCGCCGCTCCCCCTCCTCCCGCCGCTCCTCCCCCGCCGCTGCCGCCGCCGCCGCCGCCGCCGCCGCGCCGCCGCCGCCGCCGCGCCTTCCCCCGCGCCCCGCCGCGGCCGCTTGTTGCACCGCCCCGCGGCCTGCGGGAGCCGCTCGCCCGGCCCGGCCCGGCGCTCCGGCCCCGCCGCCGCCGCCGCCCCGCGCGCGGCCCGCACCGCCGCCCGCCCAAGATGTCGGCGCGGACGCCATTGCCCACGGTGAACGAGCGGGACGCGGAGAACGTGAGTCGCATCCCCGCCCCGCGCGCCGGCCGGCCGCCCCCCGCGGTGCCCGCGCCGGGGCCTTTGGCCGCCCAGAGCGCGCCCACCCCCACCCGGGGGCGCGGCAGGTGGGGCGCGGAGGGGCGCGGGGGGCGCCCCGGAGGAGGCGGGTGCCGCCCGCCCGCGGGCTCGGGAGCATTCTGCACCCACCTCGGCCCCGGGCGCTGCAAAACTGTCTCCGAGCCCCGGGGAGCCGGCGGCTGCGGGTGCGCCCCCGGCTCGTCCGGGGTCCCACCGGGCCGGGTCCTCGGTGCCTGCGACCTCCGGCGGCTGCTCGGGCGTCCCGGAGCTGCGAGTCGCCGGGGACGCGGCCCCCGGGCCGGAGCCCCCCGCCCGCCGGAGCCGCGCGTCTGGACGCGGGCGGGCGGCGTGGAAACGCGAACGGATGCAAAGGGTGCCATCAGCGGGGTTCCACCTTCTGCAAAGTGCAAAGTGTGTGTGTGTGTGCGTGCGTGCTTGTGTGCGTGTGTGTGCGCGCGTGTGTTCCTTTGTGGGAAGGGTTTTCTGGTTGATGTTTTTGTTTCCCCCTCTGAACGCTCGCGACCTGGGCGGTGAGACCTTGGCTGGTCCTCGGGCGGGTGCCCGGGCTAAGTTTGCACGGGCTGCCGGGCTCTGCCCGGGAGGCAGCAGCCAGTCGCAGGGTGCCCGTGCCGAAGGGTTGGTCAAATAAAATCTTTAACTGCTGGGGCGTTCTGAGACAAAAGGGGCGACAGGGGAGTGACAAACTCCGCGCTGGAGTGCTGGAGGTATAAACGGATTCTTTCATCTGGGCCAAGGAGAGGGGCCCTGGAACTTCCTGTGATCCCGGGAGGGAGAAGAAACGTTCCTAAGAGACTATTGTTAGAGCAGCCGGGAGATGCTTCCTACTGCTTTTGTCTTCTCCCGTGGTGTTTCGGATGGTTTCAAAAGACAGTGCCACGCCGCCGCTATCATAAATTATAACTTCATTTGCATCCACAACCGCGCTTTCAAAAAATGTCATTGACTTGAGATATTTTTTTTTTTTGATGGACAGAAGCGGGAGTTGGGGCAGAGATGAAAATTTTGGTTGAAGTTGATTTTGAAGTCGAGTGGGTGCCGATTTTTTTTCTTTTGGTAATAATGGAATTCTAAAAAAAATGTTTCTGTCATTTCGGTGTGAATGAAAAGTCTCACAGATGACGCCCTTTGTTGTGAATAGCAAAGCCCAGCTCACCCCACACTAGCTAGCTGTGTTCTATTTCGGAGTGCGCTTTCCATACTTGTGTGAGTAAGGTCCATTATGCAGACGTGAGATGGCATTCTGGAACATGCGTCTAGGAATAGTACAAAATGCAGCATCACGTGGGCCGGGGAGCTGATTCCTTTCAGGCTCAGCATTAGGACCCTGTGCAGCGTGGGTGTACCTGCAGGAGAGGTGGGCTGCGTGCACCCACTTGCTCTGTGTGTACGCATCTTATTCCACTCTCATTTGTGTGCCCTTACTGTGCTTATGTTGTGCAGAACTCTGCCTGGTGGCTTCTTTTACCCACGTCTCCATTTCCAATTGCAGTGAAAAGCAGCCGGATATTTACTGCTCCTGTTAATTTGTCAATAAGCATGCACTCAGCTGTTTCTGACTGGGAGGGACAGGAGTATTTAAGACGTGACCTTTCCCCTCAAGGAGTTGACAGGAAAGGTAAATAGAAGACCCAGAAAATCGGGGGCAGTCGCAGGCAGCATAAATTAGGGCCCATTTGATTTATAAATGCTATCAGTGTTTTATACAGAGACCACCTGGGCTGCCTGATCGATTGCCATTGGGGTCTCTATTCTCTGGCTAGTAGTAAATGTCATGGCCAGTTGCATCCTTACCTCTTATCAATGAAATAAAATAACACACTGTTAGTGTCCAAATGCCCATAGTAGTCATTTTCAGTTAAGATAGTGCTGTGCATTTTTTTGTTTTTTGGTTTTTTTGCTTTTTGGGTCACACCCGGCGACGCACCCAGCGACGCACAGGGGTTACTCCTTGTTCATTCACTCAGGTATTACTCCTGGCGGTGCTCGGGGGACCATGTGGGATGCTGGGAATCGAACCCAGGTTGGCCGCATGCAAGGCAAACGCCCTACCCACTGTGCTATCACTCCAGCCCCCAGTGCTGTACATTTTTTACTTATTATTTTTATTTTATTTTGTTTCTTTTTGGGTCAGATCCGGTGATGCACAGGGGTTACTTCTGGCTCATACACTCAGGAATTACTCCTGGCGGTGCTCAGGGGACCATATGGGATGCTGGGAATCGAACCCAGGTTGGCCGCTTGCAAGGCAAACGCCCTACTCACTGTACTATCACTCCAGCCCCAACTTACTATTTTTTTTTTTACTATTTTTAATACAAAAAAGTTCTGAAGAACACAGACCCTTGGGCTGGGGAAAGGACTCAAAGGAAGATGCTTGGCACACCCAGGGTTTGATTCCTAGTACCACCAAGGTGGAATTGTTTTTTAGTGGTTATAAAATTTATATTCAAATGGCAAAAAAAGACTTTTGAAGTTGTTCTCTGGGGGTGGGGGGGCTATTAGCATAGCTCATAGCCTGTTATTGCTAGAAATGAAGATCTTGTCATTAAAAAAGCCTTTGATATTTCATTCATTTGCATTCAGTATAAAATGTGTTTAGTCATAATAGCACATTTGGGTTTTGTACCCTTGGGGATAGTCACTGAGTGTCCTCCCCCCCATCACTACCACATATTAAGGGTGCATTTAAGGTGCACTTGAGGAACGTTGCAGCTCTGACTTGTGTACTACTGCTGTAGCAGAGTGGAAAGACGTGCTTGTCTCTGAGAATCTTCTGCATGGGCTTTTTTGGGAGTATAAATAATGAAGGATTTGCATGTGTGACACTAATGGGCCTCGAAGAGGGAAATATAACCAGCGATTAAGTTCAAAGGCACTACATGCTTCATAGGGAACTAAAAGAGGAAGGTTGCAGGTAGTAGAATTAATTGATAGAAAATCTATAATCCTGGGGTGGAAACTCCTAAATTCAGAGAAAGAATGAGTATCTGAAATCCAGCTCATTCTCTCCTGTTAGACTCATGTTTCCACCAGATGATCCAAGGAACCTGGAGCAGGTGAGATCATCTTCATAGTTAGGGAGCACTTTTTGTTCATTTACTTCAAGAAGTAAGACTTACAGAGGGCGGGGGGGGGGGGGGGTCCTGGGTGATCTTTATTTCTGGAAAGGGGGTAGTAGACCCAATGAGTTTGGAAGCCTCGCTATTATATTCAGATCATTCCAGCATGGATAAAGTGAATGCCACTATTACCTTTATATTCCTTTTACAGATGCAAGGGCTGGGGGTTGGAGGGGGGGATGGGAGTAGAGAACTGCATGCTTTCAAAAACCCAATCCCGATAACTTGGGTGGGCCCAGACTATCTAGATGTGATCAGAATGAAGAAAAATGCTTGGGCTGGACTTGGATTCCATTTTTCTCTGAAGCTGTGGCTTTGCGTATGGGCACTCTCGGTGGCCATTCTTGTGCTAGGTCTGAAAGCCCTGTGCACTCTGAGTATGCAAGGCAGCCTAGGAGGCCTCAGCGCAGCCCCCTGGGGACCACTGCAGGGGCGCAGAGAGCGGGAGGGAGGTGTGCCTTTGTCCCTGCTCCTGGGTCTCCACGCACCCCTCTCACACATACACTCATCCTGTCACCCCCGTTCTCTATGCTGGCTGCGTGCCACACTCCTTAGATGAGCGCTGCCTGTGCCCACCCGTGGCTCCCCGTGCCATGTGGATGCGCCCATCACTGCCGGCACCTTCCCCCTATGCTCTTCTCACTGACCATCAGGATAGTGACCCCACAGGCGTAGGATCCTGAGGCAGAGTCTGGGGAGAGCCACGTGACCTGCTCAAGGTCATGGCCTCTCCATACTGGTTTGGGTGGTTCCTGTCCTAGAGATTTCCAGGCAGATGGGAGAGGATGGAAGCTGCTTTCTCGGAGGAGGAGCAGGGCCAACCATGCTGTGTCTGCTTGGGGGCCGGGGGCTGGCTGTCGGCCAGGGGGCCTGCCGTTTTCTCTCCACCACCCAGAGACAGCCTCTGTGGCCTCACTCGTGCTTGTAAGACTTCTGAAATGATTACGTCCTGTGCCCTCTGTGGAAGCCATGTTTGTGTGCGTGTGTGTTCGTATATGTATGTCTAAAGTATACGTATGTCTAAATATACGTGTGTATATGTGCTTATATATGTGTGTATGTGTATGTATATGTGTCTGTGTATGTCTATTACATTTGTGTCTATATGTGTATCTATATATGTGTGTCTATGTGTCTGTGTCTATATGTGTGTGTCTTTGTATATCTGTGTGTTTGTATATGTTATGCTTGTGTGTCTCTATGTCTGTATCTTTGTATATGTCTGTGTGTATCTGTGTATATGTGTCTATATATGTGTGTGTCTTTGTGTGTGTCTGTGTCTGTGTGTAATTTACACATTGGTCTCCAATTGGTGCAGAGGGATGAGCCATTGTGAGGAAAAGCCTTCCTTCATGGTTCCCTTTCGATTAAACACTTTTAAACACACACACACACACACACACACACACACACATTCCTTTTTATTTTTACAAGCCCAGCTTTAAATCAGCTTTAGATCTCAGCATTACTTGTTTTACTGTTTCTACTCTCCCCTCTGACTTTGTGTATTATTTTTCCCTTTCCAAGGAGCATCTTTCTCGTTCTTTTCATGAAGGATTGTCAGTGGTGAGCTTTCTATTTTATTTTATTTTTTGCTTTTTGGGTCACACCCGGCGATGCTCAGGAGTTACTCCTGGTTCTGCACTCAGAAATTACTCCTGGCGGTGTTCGGGGGACCATATGGGATGCTGGGAATCGAACCCGGATTGTTTGCGTGCAAGGCAAACGCCCTATCTGCTGTGCTATCACTCCAGCCCCAAGCTTTCTCTTTTATAATGGGACATGGATTTATGCCATTGT